TTGATGCATCGTTAAGGAGTTAGGGGTGAAAAAAAATCTAACTTTTTTTATTATAAAAAGTTTTCCCTTGGTGGCCCACATTAGCAATTTTGTTTTTTACATGTCTAAACCCATATATACAAGTTTAAAAAATAAAAACTTTTCTCACATTTTTGTAATGGATTTCCTGCTTTGATCCTCAAATTACTGGTCTGATATTTTTAAATCAGCCACCATTTTTTAAAACAGCGGCTCTGGAACGGCAGGCAAGGTTCTTTTTACTCAGAATAACATATACTTTCATAATTTATAATCAAACCTTCGCCTGCGATGAGGTCGATTTTTGGGCCCTGGCTCCAGGGCTATGGGCGATAGGTTCGCCACTTTCCTATCCCAGGATACGGGACCATCTAAAATGAAAATTTGTGATCAATTAAGGTTTTAGTTGATTAAGTTCCGGTTTATATACTTTTTTTAATAATAATAATTTTGATCAAGTTCTCTATAAATGTATTATATTGAATCCAAAATCTTGTAAATGTTAAAACTAAAATTATTCATAATACATAATAATAAACCACTTCTTTTAAGAACTAGATTTTCAGTTCAAATATATCATGTTTTAAATAACTTTTTTGTTTGTATTTCTAAATAAGAGCAAGTTAAATATCGACCGGAAAAGCTCAATAATGAGCTTTAAAATAAAATTGTATTTACAGCCTTTTGCAATGTGGCATTCAATATCTAATATAAAATAAAGTTCAGCTGTTATTCTAAAATATCTGGTGTATTCAAACCTCTCTACTTTGAATAGAAATTATTTTCTATAGCTTAAAGCTTACAGCTAACAAATCATTAAGACCGCTAAATTAACAAAAACCCTATTAATTATACCAATGTTAGACAGTAAAAACTGTGGCACTTCATCTGTTTTTGTAAACCACATAACTACAGTTTCTGAGCCATATAGGTATATATGTTGCTATACAGATTTGAAAGTATATCTCTATATTCAACCTATAAATGATTACGGATTGTACGCCTATTAGTTATTAAATTGTTATTTTCCATTGTAAACTTTACTGAAATGAAATTAAAGAATTTTCATTGCCTGCCATTTAAAGGTCAAAAAATCACACTAATTTTAAGTGGATTATGCTTGGATTTTACTATGGCAAAATACATTTTGAATCCTATAGCACCAAACTTAAAAATGTCCTTTTTCTTCCTCTTCTTTACGTAAATGATTCCTTTTCTTGTTGCAGATTGCCATCCTCCTAGCTGTTGCCGCCATCGCTCAGGCCGGACTCATCGCATCAATTGTCCCCATTACAGCCCCAGCCCTCGGCCGGACCCCAAGCCTTGACTAAGCCATCATGAGGCACCTTGAAGGAAACTTTGCCTACTCCACTGTCGAACACGCCTGAACCTTTGTTGCTCGTCATCGAGAATGTCATTGTTCCATTCATCAAGAATGTCATCATCCCAGTCGCCATCACCTACTCCGCTCACCCATACACCATCTCTCACCAAAAATTCATCATCCATTTAAGCCAATAAAATAGTAATCACTCTCTATAATTGATGTTTTATTTGTGACAATCCCTCAAACAACCTAAAATTAATATTACTTTAACAAAAGAAGATAAAAGCAACCTAAATCTAAATGCAACTCCATCAAGAATTCACTATCTATTATACAGAAACGCAGCAAATATGATAACTAAAATACCTCGTCATTCAAAACCTAGTGCTTTCCTCCAAGGGCTAGCAAATTTGGACAGTGATATCATTCAGTCTTTATGCAGATTCATAGAAGAAAGCGAACTAGAATTCTAAAATAATTCACATTGATACCCTCCATGTTCATATTGATAACATTACAATATGGCCAGTTTAACAGTATAATAATACATTTATAACAGGATAGGACTTCAATAGAAGTCTTAGGCCAACCAAAAATAAAATAAAATAAAAGTTTCGAAATCATCCTCAGTGAAATAAAGTTAAAAAAAAAAAATACAGGTTAAAAAATATCTTTCAAAAAGTTGAAAATAAATAGAAATTAGTAACTTTTTTAAAAAGTCCTATTAAAAAACTTTTTTAAATAAAAGTTTAAGGAACTTTTTTGTAAGTTCTAGGTATATGTATAGGTGAACGTTGAACTTCTATTTATTTATGTAATTAAAAAAAAGTTACAGTGATTGGGTTTAAGATTAGAGTTATAGTTTATCCTAAGCATTTTTTAGTAGCTAACAATAAAAGTCATTTTAAAGATTTTTTAAAAATAATAGTTCTCTAAAACTTTTACTTAAAAAGTATCAAGAGAAAATGTTCTAATTCTGAAATAACAGAAACATATGAAAATAAAGATTCCAGTCATACCCAAACTGATTAAAAATAAAAGTTAACATTTCATTTCCCCCTCATTAGCCCGGGTATAGATGGATTGATATATTGGAGATGGAAGACAGAAATCTAATGGAAGTATTTAACAAAAAATAAATAATAACAAATAGTATTCTCATACAATATTTCATAACATTAATACGTGATGAAAATGCACCTACAAATACTTGATTTTAACTACAACTGACAACCATAAGACAAATATCATTGTCTTTAAAATGGGTAAACGAAACATCTTCATATAATGATTAGTTAACAAAGATTTAATAAATTATTTTTAAAAAAGGGTTTAAATAGTTCCTTGAAAATAGAGTAAGTATTTAAAATTGACAAACCTTTTTGAAAATAATATTAGTTAATTTATGGGAAATTAATAAAGAAACAAAATAAATGCGAGTAAAGAAGGATCTTTCAAAACTATACAATAGACAATTTGGAGATTGATGGAAATGACAATTATATGAAAATTCGCATGAAGCTGTGTCTACACAGACAATAAAAGGTAAGGCCGATGATTTAACATCAAAGTCATATTAAACAATTATTCAGGTTGTTCAAAAAGTTAAATTCCTGAGAACAGATAAAAAAATCAGGTTCTGTTAAATGGAAGTGAATGAAGAATTGAAGGGGTTGAAGAAAATGAACGAAGAAAGAGATGGAACTCAAATTTGTGACAGAACTAAACAAACCAATTTCAAAATAATAAATATTTATAACATAGTATATCCAACATAGAAATACTACATTATACTATCATACTAAAACTCTTGATAGCTCATGAATAATAATTTTGAAATACAGTTTTAATATATAAATGCAATTAAGAAATATGTCTACTATAGAGGACATGCAATTCTCTACAACAGAAAAAAAAAATACTATTATAAGTAAGAAAAAGCACAACAAAATGTAAAATCAAGAATTAATGCGATATTACAACACAATAGAAACAAGCACTAATGGATATTTTCATTGGTTAATTATTATTTTTATAAGTGATCGAAGCTAAATACTCTTCTCTTTTCAAATTATAATGCACCTTCTTCAGCTACAAAAACGAAACTAGATAAATCAGTGTATTAAAAAAAAATACAAACATTTTATCCTTAAAAGTACTATTTTTCCTGTAATAACCGTTATTAGAAAAATTACAATGAAATAGTTTTTTAAACAATGCCATTGCCTTCAATCGTTTGATTTTATACACTTTTTTTTCTTCAAATTTGAACATTATTTTAAAAATTTACATTTTGTTAGAAAATATCATTAAATTTCTTTGGAAACATGTAGTTTCCATCAAATAATTTTAGTTTTCAGACATGATTATTTCTAATCTTTTCATCAGTCTCCATTACCTTCTACGACTTTCTATATCAGATTTGTTTTGTTTTTTTCTAAAATTTTCAGCTTTCCAACGATATATCATATCTATAACTTTTGACCATTATTTCTGGAGATTCATTTTTGACCTAATCAAACCTTTTTTATATTTTCTAATTACCAAATTCTTTGAAAAGTTATATTTAGCCTTTTTCTATTATTATTAACAATGAAAGATAGTTAATTATTTTAAAGAAATCAAATCAAAGGTACTTTAGAAGAAGAAATTTTGAAAATTTGGCATTTAATACCTGTTAAGTGACATCAATGAGAATAAGGCCTAGCTTATATTATAATACCCCTCAATTGTAAATTGATATACTGAGCTAAATCAAAATCGTTAAAATGTTTTTTTGAGAACATTGTAAAAATGTATAAAATCGTTTACATAAAGTGGCATTTCCAGTTAGCTGATTTTAGCAAAAAATTTTCTGTCACATTACTAACATAAACCTTTCTTAAATATGTAAATTTATTCTGTACAAATTATCCTTTTTAAGCTAGACTGTTCACATACACACATACATACCATTTTTTGGGACTTAGTTATTTGGACTCAGGGGACCTCAAAATTCAATTTCTATTGAATACTCAGAAAATTTTCACGACCACAATATTTTCTCTTTCTATAAATTACATATATAGATAAGTGAAGATAAAAATTACACCTAAATCTTAAATAAACTTATTACGATTTCAATATCAAATACAATAAAGTAACTCATAATCAAAAGTGAGGTCATATTTGTTCCTTTTCGAATCGATAACTAATAAAACACTAAACAAATAATATATATGCAATAAAATCAAATATTTTTAGAATAAATAGATTTATTACTATGTCTAATCAATATTAATCAATAGTTTAAATCAGTACCTGTTATCCATTAGGTGTCAATGACCTATAACTGTAAACAAAATAAACAATTCATTACAAAAAAATTTATAAAATCTATTTTTTAAATAATCTATTTATACTTCATTATTGAATTTAAATTTCTTTATTATCAATAAAATGATTTAAACAAAAAAAATTGTTGAAATGATTTAAAAAACATTCTTTGTTTATTAATAGGTGTGTTTTGTGTTCTTAACTTAATTTCACAATAATTGAAAATTAAAGTAACATTAGAAATTAGCTTCTTAGATAAGAGTAAGGAGAAAATAATAAAAAACGAATAACATTTTAAAAAATAATGGAAAAATAAATAATGTGGCATGTAACTTACCCATGATTTCTCAGAGATATCGGATGTTTCTTTCTTGAAGTTCCCTATCCGCCAAGGTCTTTAAGGTTTGGAATCGGAAAAAAACGAATTTCCACGGCGGTAATTAAGGAAATTCACTTCAACACAAACTACACTTTTAAATATCACAACATAATCAATATACTGAGCGACATACCCGAACCGCACAACTGCATCTAAAGTAATAGGAACTAAGAAATAAAGATTTATCTAAGGAAATAAGAAAATCAAGCCACTGTTGTGCTCCTATACAATAAAAATCATGATATGTTAATAAAAAACTGATGTCAATATTAATAATAATTAAATCAAAATAATTGTGAAACTTCCTTTTATGATCAGTATAAAATAATATTTATATTAATTTATAAACAACTGCACCTAAAGAATTATAATGACTTGATGATTATAATAATGATAATGAGATTAAAATTAAGAAAAATATAATGATTAAATAAACTGAGTATTTATTAATGTAATTTAATTAAAAAATAAATCCTATAGAATTTTAATACTGTCAATGAATATCTTTACTTTTTTCTTTTTCTTAAAAAATAATATAAATTTTATTAACTTGTATATTTAATTTAAGTAGCAGGATATCTCAGTGAATAAGGCTCTATCCTCCTACACTTGGGTTAGAGTTTACCTGTTACATCAGCCGTGAATTGACCTCTGGGTTCGGGGACCCTCCTTGTGCACACCCAGCCACTATAAAGTGGGTACCCTTAATTAGGCTGGAAAATCTGGTATTTGAGTGTGACCCTGACCAAATAACATCCTTGCATAACCATTGAAGTTAAAACAGTTTTTCCTTACAAAGTACTCAATCCAAGATTCTCCACGGGTTGCAGTGATACATATTTTTTTAGATTTATTTAAAATACTCAAAGAGTTTAGATTGTTTTACAAACTAAGAAAAGTTGGTATTGGTATATTCTCATTTTTTATTTTCTCTAGATTAAAAAAAAATTAACTAATTATTAAATATTTATATTATTATTTATTGAACACGTCCACTGTACTTTATGTATTTTTTATGTATTAGGTTAGAAAGAGAGAGAAGAGAATGTGAGGAGTGGGAACATGTATAGGGAGAGAGAAGGAAGAGAAAGGGTACAGAATGATAATAAATGAATGAAAGAAATAGTAAAAAAAAATAAATAAAATAATAAATTTAAAAAAAGGAGAAAAAAAGGAAAAAAATAAATAAAATAATAATATATATATGTATAAAATATTGTATACTATGCTCGTACATATTGTTAATCCTATATAATTGTATAATAATTTTAAATAATGTCTGTAGTGATTAATAAGTATGCTGTGTTGTT